CCTCCCAAGTAGCTGGGACCACAGGTGCCTGCCACAATGCTCAGCTATTTTTTGGTTGCAGCCGTCATTGTTGTTTGGCAGGCCTGGGCTGGATTTGAACCCGCCACTTGAGCCACAGGCACCAAGCCAACTGTAGTTTCAAGTGTGAGATAAAAAAGGTTGAAAAACACTGTCCTTGGGTGGCAACTGTGGCTCAACTATTAGGGCGCCGGCCCCATATATCGAGGGTGGTGGGTTTGAGCTCAGCCCCGGCCAAACTGCAACAAAAAATAGCTGGGCGTTCTGGTGGGTGCCTGTAGTCCCAGTTGCTTGGGAGGATGAGGGAAGAGAATCACCTAAGCCCAATAGTTGGAGGTTGCTGTAAGCTGTGATGCCATAGCACTCTACTGAGGGCAATAAAGTTAGACTCTGTCTCTAAAAAAAAAAGAAAGAAAGAAAAACACTGTCCTAGCTCCTTGAGCACTTGCGGAGAAGCCCTGGTACAAACAGCAATAAGATGATATCCACACTGTGTAGCACAGCAAAGGCTCAATAGGTGATGCTCTTCTTATGTCATCATTTAGAGTGAAAAGAGCAGGAAGCACTCAAAGGTATAGTCCCAGTTGGGGATAAAAACACTCACTGAGTTCTTACCTTTTGCAAGGCACTCTGCATACACATTATCTCAGCTGTTCTTCCCAGCTGCACTTTATTTCCTCTTTTACAGATGAGAACACGGGCCCAGAAAGGTTACAGGCCCTGAAGTTTGGCCTGCCAATGGTAGGAAGGCTGGGTCGAGATGACAGGCTCTTCCCCCAGCAGGGCAAAGAAGAGCTATTACCTGGGGGAATCTCTTAGGAAAAGGGAGTTCCCCTGGATTTTCTCCCAACCCCTCCCTCTACCTCCCTGTTCCCCCCATCTGCAGCCCAAGGTGGCTGGGCTGGGCTGGAACTGCTATAGATATTTCCTGATATCCCTAAAGAAGGGCTGCCTGAGGTAGCCAGCATGTGTCAGAAAGGAAGGGGGCATGGCACTGATGGGGGTGCCTCAGACTGGAGGCCCAGCGCTCCTCTGCCTGCTCTGATCAGCCCTGTGACAGATGCTTTGGCTGCCCTGATACTTCCCACACCCATGTGCTTCTGGTTTGGGCTACTCCATGGAGACAGGAGCTATAAGGACTAAGGACCTAAGGATGAGCCCGCCTTACCCCCCTGCCCTTACTAACTCGCTTAGTTACTGTGTGACCTGAATGTTAATCAATGAACTCCCCAGAGCCTCTGTTCCCTTCCCTGAGAGCAGGGACCTAGTCCTACTGGCCCCAGGGTGACAGTGCCTGCTCCAGGCCAAGGCACTGTGAGAGCTTTTGCATCTTCAACTCATTTATGCTCGCCAGCATTTGGTCTTCCAGGAGGTGCTGAGTGTCTGCTCTGTGTGAGCCTGTGCGCTCACCTTCCCCTCTGCATGCAGGAGGGAGGTCCAGGAGTACATCCCAGCCCAGCTGTACCACACGACAGCTGGCTCAACTTGGCTCAACCTGGTCAGTGGGCACCGGCAGCAGACACAAGCACTCAGCCCCCACCAGGCCCGGGCCCAGTTTCTGGGTGAGAACTGGGAGCTGGGGAGACTGCTGAGGATGGGGTCTTGGGAGGATGGGGACAGAAGCACCTTTTTCTTTGCACAAAGGCGTTTTCAGTGCCAGCCAAGCTGAGCCCCTGCCCAGAGAGAATGCCTTTTAAAAATGTTCATGCAGATAGACCCCCCTAGGCTCAGGTGGCCCTGGGCAGAAGGGAAAGAGCTGTGAGCAGGCACAGAGGAAGAGGTGGGAGGAGACCCAGACCAAGGGCTTCTGTACTGGATATGGGCGAATGAAGATGTGGGCTGCAGGCTAGCTCTGCAGTTCAGGCCATGTCTGTCTTCGGTGAGCCCTGCCTGCACAATGATTGCCTTCTCTCCCCACCAGGCCTTCTCAGTGCCTTCCCTATGTTCGGCTCCTCCTTCTTCTTCATCCAAAGCTGCAGCAACATCGCTGTACCAGCCCCCTGCATCCTTGCTGTCAACCACAACGGGCTCAACTTCCTCAGCACCGAGACCCATGTGAGTGGCCTCAGCCTAGCACTGCCATCACCACCCTGATCTCCCACCCCGATCTCCCACCCCTCTGAAGGGTCAAGATCTCCAGCTTTGGAAGCCCAGCTCCACCTTTTACTGAGAGCTCAGGCAGGTCTCTTCTCCTATCTGAGCTTCACCTTCCTCACCTGGAAGGCAGGGATAACAGTTAAAACCAGCCCCCTGGGCTCGGTGCCTGCAGCTCAGTGGCTAGGGCACTGGCCACGTACACTAGGGCTAGTGGGTTCAAACCCAGCCCGGGCCTGCCAAACAACAATGACAACTACTACAACAACAAAAAATAGCCAGGCATTGTGGCAGGTTCCTTTCTTCTTCAAAAGAGAAAAAAAACAAAAAACAGCCCCCTGGGGCTGTTGTAAAGGTGAAATAAAACACACACTGAGCACTTAAATGACATGTAAGTCTGTGTGGGCTGCCACAATGAAATACCACAGACTGAGTGGCTTGAATAACAGAAGTTCATTCCTCACAGTTCTGGACTCTGGAATTCCAAGGTCAAGGTCTCGGCAGGTCTGTTCTCTTCCTTGATTATAGACAGTTGTCTTCTCACTGTGTCTTTACATCGCCCTTCCTCTGTATGTGCACATCCCTTTGTTTCTGTGTGTTCAGATTTCCTCTATGAGGACACTTGTCATGTGGGATTAGGCTTCTCCCCAAGAGCCTCATTTTAACTTAATCACTTATTTATTTTTTTGAGACAGAGTCTCACTTTGTTTCCTCTGTAGAGTGCTGTGAACTCAGCTCACAGCAGCCTCAAACTCTTGGGCTCAAACTATTCTCTTGCCTCAGTCTCCCAAGTAGCTGGGACTACAGGTGCCTGACACAACACCCAGCTATTTTTAGAGATGAGGTCTCACTTTGGCTCAGGCTGGTCTTGAACCTGTGAGCTCAGGCAATCCATCCACCTCAGCCTCCCAGAGTGCTAGGATTACAGGCATGAGCCACCATGCCTGACCTTATTCACTTTTTTAAAGGCCCAGTCTTCAAATACAGTCACATTCTTAGGTACTCCATTAGGGCTTCAACAGGTGAACTTGGTAGGGAGGGAGACCAAATTCAGCCCATAATAAATAAGACCTGTTACCTTGTTTCTTTTTTTTTTTTTTTTTTTGAGACGGAGCCTCCAGCTATCCCCCTGGGTAGAGTGCCATGGCATCACGCTCACAGCAACCTCCAACTCCTGGGGTCAAGCGAGTCTCCTGCCTCAACCTCCCAAGTAGCTGGGACTACAGGCACCCGCCACAGCGCCTGGCCATTTTTTGGTTCCAGCCATCGTTGTTTGGCAGGCCCCGGCTGGGGATTCAAACCCTCCACCTTAGGTGTATGTGGCTGGCGCCTTAGCCGCTTGAGCCACAGGCGCGGAGCCTGTTACCTTGTTTCTTACTTGCTGTTCCCAGAAGTAGACTCTGAGACAAGGATTCCAGGGCAAGTGGTTGACTTGGAGTTGATCCCAGGAAATGCTGGAGTGAAGGCTTGGCGCCTGTGGCTCAAGCGGCTAAGGCGCCAACCACATACACCTAAGGTGGTGGATTCAAATCCCCAGCCCGGGCCCGCCAAACAACAATGATGGCTGCAACCAAAAAATGGCCAGGCATTGTGGCGGGCACCTGTAGTCCCAGCTACTTGGGAGGCAGAGGCAGGAGACTCACTTGAGCCCAGGAGTTGGAGGTTGCTCTGAGCTATGAAGCCAAGGCACTCTATCCAGGGGGATAGTTGAGGCTTCGTCTCAAAAAAAAAAAAAGAAATGCTGGAGTGAAAAAGTGAGACAAGGAAGGGATGGAGCCAATAAAGGGCATATTACCAAGCAAGGGGCTGGTGTGAGCAGCAGGAAGAAGTTTCAGCTTCTCTCTCAGGAGGCGAGGGAGCCAGGTATCTATCCACTGGTCATCAGTCAAGGGTTTTTTCCTGCGGCATTAACTCTCCATCACCAACCTGCCCTCCATGTGTCCTGAGTTTGCTTGGTGGGCTAGACAGAGCTGCACAAGAAGCGGCTCTGATGGGAAGGTCAGGGTGCCAACAGCACCACACTCTCTGTATTCGGAACATTTAGGGCGAACATTTAGGGCAGTGCCTGGGACACTGTGGGTACACTGTATTTGTTGAATCATTTTCACAGGTAAGGAAACTTAGCTTCAGAGAGGTAAAGTGATTTACTCAAGGTCACACAGCAAGTCATTGTGGGAGTTGATACTTGAACTGGGTCTGATTTGCAGGGGAAATATGGGGGTGGGGAGTGAGACCATACCCACTAACAAGCCTATCTGGTCCCTCTCCCCCCACTCCTAGGAGCTGATGGTGAAGTTCCCCCTGAAGGAAATCCAGTCAACGCGGACCCAACGGCCCACAGCCAACTCTAGCTACCCCTATGTGGAGATTGCACTGGGGGACATGGCAACCCAGCGTACCATGCAGCTGCAGCTGGAACAGGTGGGCCTGGTCCCTCCCTCCCGATTCTACTCCCTAGGTGCCTCCCTGAGCCTGGCTCCAGGGCACTCCAGATTCCTCTGTGCCTCAAGGAACATCTAGTCCAGCGCACAGGACAGAGCTGGCCCCAACCAGCACAGAACTATAAGTCATTATGGTGCTCTTCCAGGAAAACAGCTTGGTAATGGGAACATGGGAATGGACCTGGGTTGTTTGCACAATAGTTAGATGGGGTTAGATGGGGTTCTGGGGAGACAGGACTAGAGGAGGGGAGGTCATGGAGCTCTTTGAAGGTCAAGCTAAGAATTTGGGGCATTCTCTTTAGGGCACTAGGGAGCCATAGAAAGTTGGTGAGAGGAAGGGACATAGGAGGTTTGAGGAAGTTCATCCATGGAAGTTGAACTGTGGGCCCTAACTTAGAGTGTGGGGAAACTGAGACCCACCTGCCCTGTACATTTTCCTGCCTGCAGCAACTATGGCTATTACTTAAAAGGCACAGCTGACCCCTAGGCTCATAAGTCTTATAGTCCCCCAGGGACAGGGCAGGACCAAAGTTTTCACCCCACTGAAGAGATAGGATTGGAACCTAGAGAAGGGGCAGAGTCAGGGCTGAGGATCACACCTCTGCCCTTTCCAGGTCACTGTATCCCCCTCAAAGTCTGTGTCCAGCACCACATGCCATGATAGGGCCTGCCTTGGGAGGGGGTGATTTCCCAGGATGAGAAAGAGGGGATTCCACTGCTCCAGCCCTGCCTCTGAGGGACAGGACCAGAACAAAGCCCTGATGGCCTCTTGTGCCTCTTGCAGAACCTGTGACTTGGGTACAGGTTCCCAGTCCCACCCTGATCCATGCCTCCTAACTCCAGGCTTACCCTGCTTCCCAGAAGCCACACCTGCCACAGTGACACTATTGTGTCCTCCTACCCCCAGGGACCAGCCCAGATGCTCCCTCTTTGGCTCCTCTTCTGGTTCCTCCTCCCCTGGATGATCTAATGTTGCTGAGTCCAAGCCTCTCCCCTTGGGGGCCCTATTTGACCCTGAGGCTTTCAAAACCCCAGTATTTCTATCTCCTGCCCTCACCCCCTGAGCTCAAGGCTCCCTCAGCAGTCCCTTGGAAACCAACAGAGCTCTCCACATTGCCTCCCAATCCTCCCAGGCACTCAGGCTCCAAACTGGGATCCCTCCCATCCCTCTCCTCTCTGCTCACTGGCTCTAGCTATTCTGGCCTCTTCTAGCTCCCTTCTGCTGAGCTTGCCTCCTCCTCCCTGCCTCAGGGACTTTGCACTCACTGTCTCCTCTATCTAGAATGCTCTTTCCTTATTCATCACAGGGCTTTCTCCCTTTATTTGGGTTGCAGCACAAATATGACCTTTTTATAGAAGTCTATCCTCTTCCCTAATAACTCATAATCTTTGCCTTGATATCCCTCATTATGGCTTGCAAATAATTTAGTTATTTGTGTATTTACATATCATCTGTCTCCGCCACCAGAGTAACAGTCCCAAGAGGGCAGGGTTGTGTCTATCCTTTTCATGTTGTATCTACAGCTCAGTGCCTGCCACATTGTAAATCAGTGGTTCTCAACCTTCCTAATGCTGCGGCCCTTTAATACAGTTCCTGTGGGTCATGACCCCCTGCTGAGAACCGCTGCTGTAGGTACTCAGTACATATTTGTTGCACACATGGGGGGGTGGGTAGATGGATGGATGGATCGATGAGGGCCAATTTGGCTTCTCCACTTCTTTACAGCGGAGGTGTGGGGTTCAAACCCAGCCCGGGCCTGCCAAACAACAATGACAACTACTACAACAACAAAAAATATTTTTTTGTTGTACCTACTCCAGGCCAACAGCTGCTGCCTCTGCTTCTGGCCTGGACATGTGGGGGGAAATGCATTTGCTCATTCATTCATTTGATGCATAGCCATTGAGCATCTCTGTGTAGCAGCTGTAGGAATACTGAAGTAAATGAGACTGTTCAACCCTGGCCCTCATAGAGCCCCAACTCTCAGATATGAAAGAATCTCTCCAATAAACCATGATCAGGGTTAACCTGAGCTATCTTGGAGATAATAAGGGAAGGCTTCCAGGATGAGGTGATATCTGAGTGCAGCAATGTTGCAGCTAACAGACCTGGGTCTCCATCCTGTCTACCTCTGATGAGCTGTGTGAGATCTTGAGGCATGTCTGTTTCTCATTGAGCCTCAATTTTCACACCTGTCAAATGCGGCAATAATCCCAGCAAGGCCTAAAACACTGTACTCTAGCCCTAGTGAAAGTGAAAGACCCTGTTTCAACCAAAAAAGAAAGAAAGACAGAAAGAAAAAAATGGTAAGACACATAAAGCTCTCAGGACAAGGCCTGGCACAGTTACAGCTTGGTAAGCACTGCTGCCTTTTACCCTCTGGGGTTCCCACATTGGCTGTGGTCTGGCAACCACACAAATCATTTTTCTGCAATTCCCTGATGTCTTCCATGCCCCCCCCCCCCAAAACTGGGAGTCCTGAGATTGAGTCACTGCCCATTCTAGGTTGTGGGTGCCAGCTGATAACCATGGCAACACACATCAGAAACTGTTAGCAATTATTGAGTGGACTAATTTTTTAATCTAAAGGATTTGCATGCTCTAAAATCTCACCACAACCCTGTGAGGCAGGCCCTGGTAAATTGAGACCCCGCAGAGGAGGCACTGGGGCTCACAGAAGTGAAGAGACCAGCACAGTTATGTGCAGCAAAACCTCCAGCTGCACCTGGTCTCTTCTTATTACCCCTCCCAGCCCACACTAGCCTGCCTTACAGCTCCTCAAACTCCTCTAGCCCATGGTAGGGTAGGGACCAGGGCCACTGCATGTTTCTCTCCCAACCAATCTCTCTTCTGCATGTCCCATCCCAAGGTGAGAGGTGAGGAAGTGTTGGGTGTTGGGGCATGGACTCTCACTATTGCCTACAGGGTCTAGAGCTGTGCCGAGTGGTGGCTGTGCATGTGGAGAACCTGCTCAGTGCCCGTGAGAAGCGGCTCACACTGCCCCCCAGTGAGATCACCCTGCTGTAACCCAGCCCTCCGCCCTCCAGCTGCCTTCTGTCAGAAGACTCACTGAACCTCTCTCAGCCAGTGACCCCTGTAAAGGGCCAGAACCTCGGGGGAGACCAAGAGGAGGCAGGAGAAGCAACCCAAGTGGACTGATCCAGAGTTAAGATGGAATGGCAGCATGCCAGACTTGGGTCAGAAAGCAAGAGGAACTTTCCGGGGCTGGCCCATGTATCACTATAGACCCTGCTTCTGACTCCTACCTATGGCAGGGAAGCCCCACATCAGTGACCTAGATGAACTGGACTCTGCATTTGGCTTTCTCAGAGTCTGATGTTCAAATCTGCTCCAGCTCTACATTCCAGCCCCCACATGTGCTTCTGAGTTGCCCCTGCTTGTGCTGCCTCTTAACCTGGATTTATGGCCCTTGGTTATTTCTGTGCAAATAAAAGGCGTGCCTGGCATCCATTTCCTCTGTGGAGTTGCTACATGGGTGGGAAACCTAAGGGAGAAGGCAGGAGTTCCAGGTGTCCCCTGATGCACTGCCTATGAGCAGAGCTGGGAGACATCTGTCATCTCTCCCTGCAGGTTTCTGGCCCCCAACATCACGCTTGGATAACCCCAACCACAGGTCCCCATTCCTTTGATGGTCTATGCGAGGTTTGAAAGTGGTGTAGTGCTGGCTCAGCACCTGTAGCACAGTGGTGAGGGTGTCAGCCACATACACTGAGGGTGGTGGGTTTGAACCCAGCCCGGGACAGCTAAACAGCAATGGCAACTGCAACAAAAAATAGCCAGGCATTGTGGCAGGCGCCTATAGTCCCAGCTACTTGGGAGGCTGAGGCAAGAGAATTGCTTAAGCCCAAGAGTTTGAGGTCGCTGTGAGCTCTGACACCACGGCACTCTACCAATGGCGACATAGTGAGACTCTGTCAAAAAAAAAAAAAAAAGAAAAGAAAGTGGTGTAGGGCTAAGAGGAAGTCAGAAAGGGGCTGCCTAGAGACTGGGACGTTAGCATTAGGTTTTGAAGGACAAGCAGGAGTTTGCTAAGGATAGATGGAAGGGAGGGAATAAATATTGCAAACAGAGAAAATTCTGTTCCCTGCTATATGCCCCAGAGCCTAAGATGATGCCTAAAGCAGAGTAGGCACTTAAAAAATACCTGTCACGGGGCCAGGTGCAGTGGCTCATGCCTATAAGCCTAGCACACTGGGAGGCTGAAGCAGGTGGATTGCCTGTGTTCATAGATTTGAGACCAGCCTAAGCCAGAGTGAGACCTCATCTCTAAAAATAGCTGGTATTGTGGCAGTCACCTGTAGTCCTGGCTACTCGGGAGGCAGAGACAAGAGAATTGCTTGAGCTTGAACTCAAGAGTTTGCTGTGAGCTGTGACACCAATGCACTCTACCGAGGGCGACAAATAAGACTGTCTCAAAAAAAAAAAGTTAATGGAAAGTAACAGTGCTTTGGGGAGCTTTGTGGGGTGCAGGCACTTAGCTTAGGAGTGGTATATTTATTGGCTAGGTGAGGGCATACCTGCAGAATCCTTGATATCAGAGGAAGGATTTATTTACTCATTTAACCATTTGATAGTTTTTTGGTTTTTTTTTTTTTTTTTTTTTTGAGACAGAGCCTCAAGCTATCCTCCTGGGTAGAATGCCGTGGCATCACAGCTCACAGCAACCTCCAACTCCTGGGCTCAAGCGAGTCTCCTGCCTCAGCCTCCCAAGTAGCTGGGACCACAGGTGCCCACCACAACACCTGGCTATTTTTTGGCTGCAGCCATCATTGTTTTGGCGGGCCCGGGCTGGATTCGAACCCACCAACTTAGGTGTATGTGGCTAGCCCATTAGCCACTTGAGCCACAGGTGCCGAGCCCATTTGATAGTTATTAAATACCTATTGAGTACCAGGAAAATGCCAGGCACTGGGAATTAGTCATAGTCAAATAACTACAAACAAGACCTGTGAGTGAGTTAGCCAGGTGATAAAGATAACCCTGAGACTGAAGAGGCCAGCAAGAGAGGACTGGGTGGGGCTTTCCAGTCACATTAAGGATCTAGATAGGATTTTATCCCAGGAAGGTTTTCCGGCGGGGGTGGGGGTAGAACAACCTGCACAGATTGTACCTGGAAAAGCTACTGTGAGGGGAGGCTGCTGCAGTGTCAGCAAGGAAGCTCTGGCTCAGACTGGCATAATGGTGGCAGGGTGGGAAGAAATTGGTAACTTGGGAGGTTCAGCTGGTAGGTGGTGGGGGGTCAATCACATAATCCTGGATGGGGAAGATCAAGAAAGAGCCCCTGATAGAAATGCCAGTTTTCACCACTGCCTTGGCTAGGCTTTCCCCAGAAGCAGATTCTGAGAGGGAAGGAAGGAAGGTGCCAGAAAAGAGTGTGTTATCAATCAAGTTACCACCGGGGCAAGGGTTGAGCCTGAGGTGCTCACCTGGCTGGCCCCTGGGGGTCTGTCTGCAGTCCTGGTGCCTCGCTCAGTATGACAGGGTGCACTAGGCTCCAATGCCAGGCAGCTCTGAGGCCTCCCCTCCGCTAAGTCATTTTTGAAAGTGCTGTGCGGTCATAGACAGTGTGTGGGGGGTGTTAGGCTCACTAATTACATTTGCACTGAAAGCTCCTTCCCAGTCAAGCTAAACTATGAGGCACAGGGAGGGATGATATGACAAAGAATGGAAACAGGTGGGGTGCTGTGTGAGGAAGTGACTTCTCCTGGTTAAGAAACTCCAGTGGAGGCTGGATGCAGTGGGTCATGCTTGTAATCCTAGCATTCAGGGAGGCCAAAGCAGGAGGATCCCTTCAGCTTAGGAATGTGAGACCCTCTCTCTACTAAAAACAGAAAAATTAGCTGAGGGTTGTGGTGGGCACCTATAGTCCCAGCTACTTGGGAGGCTGAGGCAGGTTGTGGTGGGCACCTATAGTCCCATCCTTTGAGCCCAGCAGTTTGAGGTTGCTGTGAGTTAGGCTGCTGCTAGGGAACTCTAGCTGGGCAACACAATGAGACTCTCAAAAGAAAAACAAAAATGCCCCACCTGATGCCATGTGAGGCAGAGAGGAGCCTTCCTGGCTGAACTGTGAGCTAAATAAAGGATTGAGGTCCAAGCTTCAGGGTGGTTTGTTACACATTCCTAGGTAACCAGATATTAGGACTTTTGGGTTACAAGACCCTAGAACATAAGGCATTAAGCTGTTCTGTTGACTCAGTGGCAGTCAGAGAGGCTGACGCCTCCTAAGAGAGGGTAACAATTCCCATGAGGCAGACAGTGGGAAGTCATAGGTGCCAGGAGAGTCAGACCCTCCTCTAGGGCAGTGGTTCTCAACATGTGGATTGCAACCCCTTGAGGGGCCAAACGACCTTTTCCCCTTTCACAGGGGTTGTCTAAGACCATAGGAAAACACATATTTCTGATGGTCTTAGGAACCAAGACACTGCTCCTCATGTGTGGGGGTCACCACAACATGAGGAACTGTATTAAAGGGTTGCAGCATTAGGAAGGTTGAGAACCACTGCTCTAGGGCCCAATGTGGGCCAAGATCTGGAAGTACAGGAACTCCAGGCAAATGGGAGGGAAAACCACAGCAGTGGGGATTTGACCCCAGGGTCCCCAGCCTAATATAAGATGAGAACAAAAGAGAATTTTCTGGGTGGCATGGACGCCTAAGGACAGTCAACTCGTGAAGGCTTGGGGTCCCAGACAGGTACGGCAGAATGCACCAGGTCTCTGGGAGCACTGAAAATTAACCAAAAGGATCACTGCTGTTTCATCTGGGCTGTGCTTGGTCAGATTCCAGTGTCCACATATCCCCCCAGCCTCTTCCTGCCCAGGAACCACAAACCTCTTATGGGAATCTTGGCTGGTGGTTGAAGACCCAGACTGTGGAGCCAGAGAATCTTGTGTTCAAATTCCACCTGTTTGTTGATTAGTCTGCCTGCCCTCTTTGGGCCTCTGCTTTCTTCTTTGCAAAGTAGAAGCACTGACAGAGGCTTTAGGAAAAGTGCTTCCTAAGTGGTCATCATTAAGTCTAACATGCGATGAAAATGGATGTTTGGGGTGGACACACATTTGCTCAAAAGCTTTTATTAATCCTCAAAACACCTCAATGAGGTCCAGTGCAGTGGCTCACGCCTATAATCCCAGCACTTGGGAAGCTGAGACGGCTATCGTCTCTAAAAATACCTGGGAGTTGCGGCGGGCGCCTGTGAGGCTGAGGCAAGAGAATCGCTTTAGCCCAGGAGTTTGAGGTTGCTGTGAGCTATGACGGCACAGCGCTCTACTGAGAGTGACAAAGTGAGACTCTGTCTCAAAACAAAAACAAAACCCCCGGAAACCTAAATGAGGTGGATATTGTTAACAGCGTTGTATATATGGGGAGACTGAGGCTCAGAGAGGTTAAACTTGCCTAAGGCCACAGAGCCAATATGAGGCCCAGTTAAGATCCAAACCCAGGCAACCTGACTCTGGCCACAGAAATAGAAAAACTAGCCCTAGGGCGTCGTGGTGGGCGCCTGTAGCCCCCACTTCTCGGGAGGCTGAGACAGGAGGATCGCTTGAGCCCAGGAGTTGGGAGGTTGCTATGAGCTGCGACGTCACGGCACTCTACCGAGGGCATAGGGTGAGACTCTGTCGCAAAAATCAAACAAAATAAAGAAATAGAGATGAGTGATGGGGAACTGCCCAGGCAAAGGCTAGGGAGTGGGACAGGCGTGTGTGTAACCAGCAGTGGAAGGCGGAGGCTGGGCTTAAAGAACGCGAAAGAGGGGAGAGGAGGCACGGCCGGGTGTCCGACAAAGGCCTAGGGCTCTAGGCAAAACGGCTGAACTCTACGCTGGGGAGCCACGAGAGATTTTCAGGCAGAAACCCGTTTGTCGGAGCCGCCCAGCGCCCCGCGCACGGCCACGCCTTTGCTCGCGCTGTGCCCTCTGCTTCAAAATTTTACAGTTGTCTGTGGTCGCTGTCTATATTTTAGCCTTATCCATGCGCCTATTTGTATCTCTAAAAGACTCTTCTGTCGCTCTCAGAAGAAGTGCCCCAACGCCCATCTCTAGTAGGGAAAAGAGACGCCAACCCCGGCGCGTCCCCGCGCCGCGCACGCGCTCGCCGCCACCGGGACGTGACTCGTGGAACGTCCGCTTCGGGGGGCGGTGGCAGCCTGCTGTGTGTGTTGGGGGTGGGGTAGAAGCGCCGGCGACTCGAGTCCAGCTTCTGCGGGTGTCGCCAGCTAGGTTCGGAGCTGGAGACCTGTGCTCTCAGTCTTACAGTCTGAAAAGTTCCTCTGGTTTTGAGAAGTTTCCTTAGACGTCCTCAGGGGGGTTCCTCCGGTGGGGTTAACGTTAAGGCACTTATTTAGCCACCCATTTACCCTTTAGGGGTCCTCGCTGCCCTCCACGCCACTACTTAAGCGACCGACGCAGTAGCCAAGGAGACTTTCTGATTGACAGTCATAACTGCCAACCCGTTTCCGGACATTCCAGTCTGGGCCCGCCCAGCGCGTGGTCGGCGGCCCAATTAAAGAAGCGGAAGAGCCAAAAGGGGCGGTAACTGGGCGGCCTAGCTTGTGGCGGGTCCCCGGCGATTGCGCGCTGTGGGCTGAGGCGGCTGTCGGCATTCAGACGATGCCGTGACGCAGTAGAGCGGCCGCGTTAACTGTGTGAACGCACCCCTACGAAGGGAGCCTTTCGGTTCGGGCGGCGCCGCGCTGTGGAGACAGGTTACTATTTGAGAGTGCTTCCTCGAAGCCCCTCAGCTAGTGGGGGAGGGGTGGCGGACGCCGAGCGGTCCGGGTCTGCGCTTGCGCTGGAGTCTTTGCCGACCCGGCCTGTACGCACGCGCATGCCCGTAGCTCACGGAGCCGCGGTAGCCAGCCATACCGCGCGTGCGCGCCGAGGAGCCCGCTAAGGAGCGGCGCTGGCGGACGTCGGGCTGGCGGCCCGTGACGTCTTGAGGAGCGCTTTAAAGTGCGGGCCGGGCCGGGCGTCTGAGGGTCTGACTGGGAGTCAGGCCGAGTCTCCGCAGCAGCCCTCCGCGGCATGAGGCGCTGCCGGAGCCCCTGCCGCCTGGGACGTGGAGAAGGTGGAGGAGGAAGGCGCCCAGTTGTCGCTACCGCTGCATGACCCGCCGCCTCTGAGGCTCGACCCCACACCCGGTCCCTCTACACCCCCCGCCGCGTCCTCCGCCCACGGATGGGGGCCCGGCGCTGAGAACCTCATTCCCTCCGGGGGCCCCGGGGCGCGTCCCCCGAGAGCCATGCCTGGCCGCCCCGCCCGCCCCGGAGGACCCTAAGAGCGGCGGCGCGGGGGCCATGGCGGCTGCCAGCGGCTACACGGACCTGCGTGAGAAGCTCAAATCCATGACGTCCCGGGACAACTACAAGTCCGGCAGCCGAGAGGCCGCG